TTTGCCTCTGCAATGTGGTCTCTTGGTTGTGATTTGTTCCATGTCCCTCCTGTCCTCTCATGCCTGCCAATCTTCAGAGATGTGAGTTGCTTCCTGGCCCTGGGACCGGCTGTGGAAGCCATTGGTATGCCCAAGTCCAGTTCACAGCTTTGGGCACAGACAACCTCATGGGGCAGCACTAACACTACCTGGCGGTCATCAATCTTCGCCTGGTTGACCGTGCCTGATGGTCAAGCATTCCTCCAAGGGAAGAAAGTTGAACCCAAGTGGAAGAGAGTTTAGGCACATTGAATTAGTCCCCACTGTTCTCAGCAGTGGCCAACTTCATACCTAAGGCTCATCCTACTATGCTGGCAATGAATCTTCCTTCCTTTCCTGCTCTTTGCCTCCACCACCTCTCCTTGTCTCTATTTCTTCAGACCTCTGTCTCTCTGTGTCTATCTCTCCCATTTTATCTCACTTTCTGTCACTAGTGGACACACGCAGATGTCCACACTGTCAGAGCATCATGCTTATGCAACTGAGAGTACGGGCACTGAAAGTTCAGAAATGATCGTGGGTCAAAACTTTTGGAAGAATAAGGTGGGAATTGGCACGTTTTTTCCCTTGGGGTTTTATTCTGCCCCTACGTATTTGCCACATGCCCTTGGAGAGGAGAGATTTTGAATCTGGTCATTTGAGGCCCCACTCCCCCCATGTCCAACATATCTGTATTTCAAGGGGGAAGGAACCAGAGAATTCCTATCTTGGTCGCTTCTATGCAAATAGATCTCTATCTCTATCCACATTCACATATGCACAAATATATCAGTATCTCCATGTCTCCATGCATCCAGAACGATGGTGGATCATGTTTATCTCTCCATAGATATAGGTTGTGCTAGAGGACCTCCACATCTCTCTTGCCTTAGTGTATCATTCTTCCAGTTCGATCTATGGACACATCTACCTGTAGCTTCGGTAGAGAGAGTGGAAGTGTCTGTCTCTATCTCTGAACAGAGAGGGTTAGAATGTCTGAAAGGTGCTTGGCCAAGCTGTCCTTGGGACAGACTGGGCTTTCATTCTGTCTAGAGAAAACACGAGGAAGGATGGCTCACTTGCAGTAGTGGGAATACTGCAGTCTGATCTGAGAGTGTCTGGTAGATCTCTGGAGGGGGATGGCACTGCTGCACATAGGACATGGAGGGAAGAAAAGACCTGTAGCCACACTGGGGTCCAAGGCCAGCCTGTCCAGAAGAGTCTCAAGTCTGGACTTAAGCCCTGGAGCCTGTCCTGTCAACAGGTGTCCTGTTCCATTCATAACGGTGAGCTTTCATTGCCTTGGTATGTGTGCAAAAGGGAGCCACCACTCTGGGAAATCACCTGCCAGAGAATGTGTCCATGTGGAAGCTGGCAGGAGTCCACCAGCTAGCAGGCTGTTGCTCATGGCCTTGGAGGCCATGGCCCCAGGGGCTCTCATCTGCAAGGACATCCTCCACAACTGTGCCTCCCCTGGGATACCTCAAAGTGATCCTCTTGCTCTCGGCTCACCCTGGCCTGGGAATGAGTGATCAAGAACAGGACACACATGTCTGCAAAACATCCTCTTGGGGCTTGAAGGCTGCTCCGAGTCTTGGTGAGAGTCAACCTCAGGCTCTGCCTGTTGACCACCTGCACTGTAGAGACAGAGAAGTCCATAAAAGCAACACAGAGCTATGCCAATGATAATTTGCCCTGAGCAGCTCCAATCAGGACTCGGG